AAGGTGCGAGGCACCCATTTGAGGTATGGACTGACCATAAAAATCTGGAGGCCTTAAAAACGCCTCGGAAATTATCTCCTAAGCAAGTTAGGTGGGCCCAGTATTTCAAGCGAATCAATTTCTTTCTGAAATACATCCCAGGAGGAAAGAATTTTATGGCGGATGCTTTATCTAGAATGCCACAATACAACAGTGTTTGGAAAGAAGTGATAAGTCCGATTGTGCCCACCACACAGGTGGCTGCACCAGTGGTGACCAGAGCACAAAAGAGGAAACAAGAGGCAGATCTGTCCAATGACTTGATGGAATGATTTAAGGAAGCTTTGAAAACAGATGAGTGGTTCCAGGCAAATGCGAATAACTGCACCATTAGAGATGGTTTAGCCTAGATGGGTGCGAAACTGTATGTACCACAAACATTGAGGAGCCAAGTGTTACAACAGACTCATGACTCCAAGGCAGCTGGTCACTTTGGCTTCGTGAAAACCTTACACCTGGTGAAGCGGCAGTTCTGGTGGCCCTCATTGAAAAAAGACATTGAAACTTATGTAGCAAGCTGTCCAGTCTGCGCCTCAGCCAAGAGACCTCCTGGTAAGCCACCAGGTCTGTTGCAGAATGTGACCAGGCCAACTGCCCCTTGGAAGGAAATCTCAATGGACTTTATAGTAGATTTACCTGAGAGTGCTGGGCACACAGTCATCTGGGTGGTGACCGACTTGTTTTCCAAGCAAGCACACTTCATACCTTGCTCCAAGATTCCCTCGGCGAAGTCGTTAGCCAGACTGTTCATTATACATGTCTACAAGACTGCATGGTGTCCCTGAGCGTGTAGTTTCTGATCGAGGGGTTCAATTTACCTCGAACTTCTGGAGGGAATTTTTGAAGTTAAAACCCACCCAGGGTTTAAGCTCCGCCCACCACCCCCAAAGTAATGGGGCCTGTGAGAGGACTAACGGGTTGTTAGAGCAATATCTCCGGTGTTACATAAATTATCAGCAGGACAACTGGGTGGATCTACTGCCTTTTGCAGAGGTGGCGTATAACAATTCTGTCCACAGCAGTACTGGTTTTACCCCCTTCAAAGTGGCCACGGGGCAAGATTTTGTACCCATACCTGAACTCCCTCGTGAGAAACCCAATGTCCAGTCATTGGACGACTGGATATCTCAACTTCAACTCAATTGGCCAATCGCTCGTAAAGCTCTAGACGAGGCGCACCAATCCCATAAGAAATTTGCGGACAGGAAGAGAGCCCCACAGAAGTCATATCAAGTAGGCGACAAAGTGTTCCTCTCAACCAAATATCTGCAAACCACTCAGAAATCAAAAAAGTTGGGTCCTAAGTATGTGGGGCCTTTCCCTATTGAGCGGATTGTGAATCCTGTGACGGTTCAGTTGACTCTACCAAAAATTCTTCATCGCATTCATCCGGTTTTCCACGTTAGCCTGCTAAAACCCGAACATACCTGTACATTGAGACCTACCCAGACTGATCCCCCCGTGCCATTGTTGATTGAGGGTGAACAAAATTTCGAGATTAAAGAGATTTTGGACTCTCGGAAGTGGAGGGGTCGTCTTCAATATCTTGTAGCCTGGAAACATTTTTCCCCATCCCATGCTGAGTGGGTGAACGAAAAAGACATCAGGGCCCCTGAACTGCTAAAGAAATTTTATGCTAAGTATCCTGATAAACCATAGAAATGTATGCAATGCTCAACATATTTTTGTTCTCTCTTACAGGGACTAATGTCCTTTTTCTAGGGGGGTCCGAATGTCAGCCTCAAGATCTCTTCGGGTACCCTAACTGCTATCTGTCTCATTTATCTCTCCCATATCCTATCTACTTTATCTTCTCTACTGCTAGGCTTAATTCTTTCGGCTGTCATTAGCAACGGGGGGAGGGGTAATTGTGGGGGGAAGAGAGCTGGAGGTGTTTTGCATTCCTTTACTGTGGGTAAGCAAAAGGAAGGGGTGTATGATTTCTTCTTTTCAACTTTCCATTTCCTTGCTAGCTTCTATCCCTTTTTGCGCAGCTACGAAGTCTTATCAAAATATGTCAAGGTCAACAGACAGAGGCCTCATCACCACCTGAAGATGCCCACATGATCATATTCAGAACTTTTAATTGGAAGAGACTTCTGGGCTTTGGGGGGTGGGAACAATTCCATTCCTTTGTATATGTGATCTGCACGCCAAATTCTCAGTTTCGGAATTCCATCTGTAGCTTCCTCTTTAATTTCCAGTAAAAGAATAACTTTGCTCTGATCCATGGAGTCTGGGTATTTCTTTCTTGGATTTTGAAGGGAGCACGCACTGACATCTTGTCAGTTTGCAAATGCTTTTCATAGCATCCCAATCTTGACATGGAAAGCGTTTGCAAGCCAACAAGACTATGGGACAGTGAAATTATTTACTCCAAGCCTCCCATTGGCTTGTAAACACTCTTCGTGCCGAGAGTGCCGAGACTGGAATGGCATGAAAGGCATTTGTAACCTGATGGGAATCTTCGAGCAAGGGATTTCACTGCCTCAAAGTCTCGTCATCTTGCATGGCTGAGGAGAGTGCCGCGCGTGTGTGTGTGTCAAATGTTACTGCACGAACTGCAACAAGGATGAGAGATGAAAATAGTGCTGGAAGAAATGTCCATTTGGGTCCAGTTCTAAGTGGGAAGAAAGACACTGGAAACGTGCAGATTGCTTGGAAAGATGGTTTAATGATGGACAGCAGGACCACATGATTTGAGTCCTGGACAAAAAAGAACACACGGGTGAGAGAGGGAGATTTATACCATCTGTTGGGCTTTGAACTTGCTTCCTGTTCCTGTGGCAAGAAATGTATCCCGACTGGTTGCCAGATTCCCAGTGGTAACTTTGTAGGTTATCTTGAGTCCCAGGCCTGGTTGAATCTTGCTTGGTGATGCAATAAAGGGGCGTTGGGCAATTCCTATCACCCAGGAGCTGAAGGTCTTTTGTGTTGAAGATAAGATGTCTTTTGTCTTATAGGTAAGATGGCTCAGTCTTTTGTGGGCTATTAACAAAGGTGGGAGCTGCTTTCCAAGAGCATGTTTCTCCTTTTCTCATCCAGGGAGGTATAATATTCTTGCTTTTTAATATTTCCTAGAATATTTCATTCTTCTGGGAGAGGGGTGGGTGCTAACTTTCTACAATAGGAAGCCACCGCAGTCAATGGGCAGCCAGCAGTGGGCAGGGGCTTCCCATTTTTACCTCTCTCTTGCTCTGTGCCTGGACTCCAGCCTAAAACCAATAGAGCAGTTCAGCTAACCCCTGCCCCACCATTAGACTAGACATATCCAGTTCCTGCAACTTTTCATCATATGCCTTCTAATCATTTTTGTCTGCACTTTTTCCAGAGTCTCAACCTCTTTTTTCTATCATGGTGACCTAAATCTTGCAGAATTCCAAGTGTGGCCTTACTAGAGCAATATAAAGAGGTACTAACACTTCATGTAATCTTGATACAATCCTTCTGATAATGTAGCCTAGGACTACATAGGCATTTTTCGCAGCTACAACACACCATTAAGTCACACTTAACTTGTTCTCCATTAGGACTCCTAGATCCTTCTCACAGTTATTGCTGCTATCTAGTTACTACCTATTCTATATCTGTGCATTAAGTTTTCCTTGCCTAAACCACAATTGGGACTGGAACACAGTTGAACACCACCTTTTGTATGTGTGTTGTCATCTCACATGAAAACAAAGGGGCAGGGTTTTGTTACCACACTTGTCACTTGGCATTTTGTCTCTGTCTTTCCAAGGTGTTACCTTGAGGTACTCCATAAGAAGAAGGTCAACCTGCAGTCTGCCAAGACTGCTCTTGGGGATGTTTCTCCTAGATAGGAGTGGAACCTCTGCATAACAGTGTCCCCAGTCCTCAATCCATGGTTGCAGTTCAAAGGATGATCAGTGATATCAAAAACATTGAAATATCCAGCCAACATCATACGCCACATTCTTCTGTCCATCTCGAGTAAAGCTCATCCATCAAGCAAATTCTTTGCTTTCATTACCAGACCAGAACTCAAACTGAAATATATTTAGAAAATCAGCAGGTTCCAATAGTACAATTGACGTAATCACTAATAATTTGCCTCAGAAAGGGCTGTCACTATTACACTGAAACTTGCCATTGAGCTAGAAACCCTTGCAACCTCAGTTAATGGGTTAAAAACTTTTCCTGAGCAGGCATTAAGAAGTAGTTGCTTTCAAGGAGAGAATCAGATCACAAACTTCAGCAATCATCACCTTTATTGATTCCAAGCAAATCAGCAAAGCTCACGTTGGTACCTCACGCATATCCCACACTGAAAAGTTGGCTGAGCCTCAGCATGGAGAAGATGGGTATGTGGCAGGAAATATTCAAACAAAGTAGAACAAGCAGGAATTTCACCATGCTTCATAATTTTTGCATGCCTTGAATCAAACACTCCCGTTGCTATTTGCAGATTCCTTACATTTGATGTGAAGTCCAGCATGGATTAAACCATTTATCACCAACCTCTTTGTTCTCAAATAGAAAGTCTTGTTAATCATTTTTTAACCATCATTCCGCATACTTCGCATCAGCTTGCCCTCACTGGTTATCTGCAAGTGCAGTTCCACTAGCCTCTATTCTGGAAATATGGATTCCTTTGGCCTATTTTACCACAGTCAGCATCATCAGACCCGCTGCAAGAACATCAGAAGATTGTTGTAAATAAAAACTAAGATAGAAACAGCCCTCCCATGATACAGTAAACTTTCTCTACTCTTGTGTGCTACACTGCAGGTGAGCAACTCTTTGGCTCTCTAAAAATGGTAGCCACTTAACCCTTAGGTAACTAGCAATAACAGTTTCCTGTCTTAAAGATCTCAGAATTCCTGGATCTTCTCACTAGGACATTCTTCCCAATCAGATGATCCAAGGATCAATTATATGGATTAGAGGTATGTTCTCCCTTGCTATGGTACCATTGGACTTCTTAAGCTTCTCAAATATTACCTGTTTTTTTTCCGCTTTGCTTTGATGAGGCAAATAACAAGGATGATAGTTATCACAAAGAACACAACCAGGGCAAGACTAAGGCCCAGCACACTCTTTTGGATGGGTAATTGGCAGTAACTTCCCAGATACCAGAACATGTCCAAATTATTGCAACTATGGGAAAGAGAAATGAATTGATAAAAAGAATTTTCTTTGCAAGATTCTAAGTAACTTCAAATAGCAAGAATTCATTAAAACCTTGCATTAAAATAATAAAACAGAAATATTAAAATAGAATAAATGAATATCAATAGGTTTCAATAACAGGTTTGTATATAGAATTTAGGAAAATGTGGGATTCTGCAGGAAGAAAAATGTAGTGAGATGGGAGAACATCTCTGTTAGATCTAATAACTGTTCAAGATTTAAGTTTTACACCTTAAATGTAATGAACCTGGCTCTAAAGGACTCCTTTGATACTCCTCCTCCATCTGTTCACTTACATGCAGTGGGGGCCAATTTCAGAGAGATGGCAAACACCATTGAAGCAGTTCATGTAATCTTGAGCGCCTTTGAAACATCTTGAGATACAGTGCACAGTACCCTCAATTATGTGGGGATAATAGTAATCTGCATATTTTGGATCAATAATATTTTTGCAGGTGTCTGTAAAACAAAAAGAGGTGATAAATAGTATAATGAAATATGGGCAATACATGTAATTTAAATGAACAAACTGTACTGCAACCAACTATGATCCGAGGCAGCAAATCTCAAACATAGCAAGATAATCTTATTCTCCCATCCTGCCCCATGTAGTTTTTTAGCAGTTTGGAAAAATATCCTTCTTTGGCAGAAAATAAAAGATATCTGCATAATTATGATATAATTACAACCTCAGAGAGAGAAAATCAAGATGATTGTAAGAACTGAAAGAAACAAATTTAGAAGAATTTATAGGCAGCAGAGCTCTGCAAGGAAGAATTAAAGTTCTAATACAAAACAGATGGACGGTTTGAAAACTCATCTTTTTCTATCTTTCTTGAGTTCTTCCTCATGTCCTCCTAACCACCATGTTAATGGGTCTTTACAGTACATCTTTAGCTTTTTTCCCTTCAGTTACTGTGATTTTTATACTACAATATTTAAAGGTAAAGGTTCCCCTCACACATATGTGCTAGTCGTTCCTGACTCTAGGGGGTGGTGCTCATCTCCGCTTCAAAGCCAAAGAGCCAGCGCTGTCTGAAGACATCTCCATGGTCATTGTAACTACATAGCCAAAAAGGCATTAAGAGTTGTTAACCTAATCTTACGTAGCTTTTTCTCTGGTAATATCTCACTACTAACTAGAGCATACAAAACATTTGCAAGACCAATACTTGAATACAGCTCATCAGTCTGGAACCCACATTACGTATCTGATATTAACACAGTTGAGAATGTCCAGAAATATTTCACAAGAAGAGTTCTCCACTCCTCTACTCATTGCAGAATACCTTATGCCATCAGACTTGAAACTCTAGACCTAAAAAACCTAGAACTACACCACCTTCGGTCTGATCTAAGTATGGTATATAAAATCATATATTGCAATGTCCTACCTGTCAATGAATACTTCACCTTCAACCATAATAATACAAGAACAAACAATAGATACAAACTCAAAGTTAACCTCAAAGTTAACTTGTTTGCAGGAAATACAACTTCAGCAACAGAGTGGTCAATGTTTGGAATACTCTACCTGACTCTGTGGTTTCTTCCCCAAACCCCCAAAACTTTAACCTTAGACTGTCTACTATTGACAGCCTTTCCTAAGAGGCCTGTAGGGGGTGTGCATTAGCACACCAACATGCCTACCATCCCTGTCCTATTATTTCTTTTTATTTTTCTTATATGTATCCATTTCATGTATTCATAACTATGTTTATACTTTACCTATTATCTTGTAAGCAATTGACAAATCAAATAAATAAAAATAAATAAAACAATATTTACTTAGGCCCAAATTGAGTTTTAGCAAAAGAACAAAGTCCCCTTTATATTTTCTCCATTCTTGTTCCTCAATTTTCCACCCTGTTTTTCCATTATTATTCAAGAACATCCTCAACATTACTGGATTTCCTCCCCACTCCTCCAATTCTTAAGAAATATTTAATAGTTATTGCTTTTTCTTCATCCCCAACCTATTGTGAGCTGGGGATGAAGAAAACTTATACTGTTCCAGTTTTAAAAGAGTTTTTTTCCTCTTTTCTTTGGCTTCTCACGTACTCTATCAACAAGTGGTTGCTGGGATGCCCCACCCATCCCAGGATATGAGGCTCAGAACCATCTCCATATTATTTTGCAAGAGAGTCAAATCACTGGTTTCCTGGAAGTAATGTATCTTCAGGATGCTCACTGTCAGTTTTCAAAGTTGATAAGTGGATTTTTAGAAGTGTGGCTGTGGCATCCTAGTTAAAACTTAACAGGAAGTGAAATGAAGCCAAGGAATTGACCTCTTTCCTCGAGCTGCCTTACATTTATCTCACATATACAAAATGACAGTATAATAGTCAGGCCTCACTTCTTTGTCAGTGTCAGGACTGCCAATTTATGCTTATCTGTTTTTCTGCTGGCTCAAAAATTGGCACTTTAGCATAGTTATCTAGTTTCTGGCTAAAGAAGAGCATAAATGACAACATCTGTTAGCATGACTTGCATAGCTTCTTTTCCATCTTCGCCTCCTGTCTTTGCCTCACTGCTAATGCTACAAGTGGGCATACGGGAGCTGGAGAAGACTTCCTTCCTTCCTCCCTTCTTTCCTTCCTCCCTTAATTCTCCATGGATTTGATCTGGGAGATCCTCTTCACTTGCTAGAGGTTCCCAATTCCTGAGTCATGGGATTGACAGTCCAAGTTTACATAAAGTAGTTAGATGAAATGGATTGACTGGATTGATGGATGGATTGGATCTATATATTGTTGGAAGAAATATCCAGTACAGGTCCAATTCAGGAGAATGGCCCTGGAAATAAAATGGAGGCTGGAAGCTGATTGGAAAGAAAGGTTCCCTTTTTTGATGAAACAGAACCACAAACCACAAATGATTCTAGGACAGCTGACAAAATAGAGTTTAGAGTGGGTTGGTTTTATACATTCTGGATTCCTATGGGGGTTATGTAGAGGTCATGTCTGGCTCTATAAGCAAAAGGGGAAATGCAAATCCTAGTTGTTTGTCTGAGCTAATTTTGTCAATATTTTGTTTGTTGCTTATCTAAGTTTTTGACCCAGTCTTTCTGAATGGATTACCAAATCTGCATTTCTAAAAGCTGGCCTCCTCAGTTTCTGCTTGGGGCAGGGAAACTGGAGCTGGTTTTTGCCTCCCTTAAGATTTTTTTCCCATTTCTTCTTTAGGGGAAATATTCTATACTGCCTTTTTTAATATTTCCCAAATATTTCATTATCCTGGGGTGAAGGTGTGAGCTTCCCACAGTATCATCAAATATTTCAGGAACTTTCATTTATGTATGAAAACAAACAGTTCAGATATCATGGCAGTGTTAGCAGTTACACATTTAAAATGTGGATTGAACAATTAAGTATTTTAAAATGTAAAGCATAGTCCTGATAATCTTGATACATCTACCCAACTGGTTACTGAAACTTACCATTAAATGAAAAACTTGAAATAAGAATCGAGTTAGGTAAAGGAACAAAGCACAGTTCTGGTCCTGAAAAAAAAGTATAATTGTATTCATTAGTTATCTGGGGTAGTTCTATACCTTGGTTTATTTCTTCCAAAATTCTTCTCCACCAAAAAAATTAAATTGATCTTTTTAAACAACTCACCCACTGCACCAAATGGCAGGGAAACCATTAACTTTACTTCTTCAAACCAGGATAGTGCAAACACAATCATTATCTTCTTTTATTCTGCACCACAGTTTTCATTTTTGATGAACCAAGTTCTACAAACCTCTTCCCTGGCCAGCAGTGGAGATCTGAGTCAGTGATGTGATTCAAGTAATTTAACAACTGATACTCCCTAATGACCAGCTGGGTAAGCATGGATGGGGTGGGTGTCATGTGACTGAGTGGGCATGGCCAACTCGGATGTCACTCATGGCAAGGTGGGGTGGCGCAGGTGGACCAAAGCAGTGGTAGTAAAGGCTAGATAACAGCAATAGCATTCTATTGTCGTTGTGGTACATTTGCGCTCAAGACAGCCCTCACCTCCCACCGCTTCAGGCTTGGAGCTATAAGCTGTGTCCGGGAAGCACTGCAGTGGAGAGATTCTGGGTCTGATTCTCTGGAGCCTTATGTCTTGCTGGGTCTCTCTGCCTGACAGTCAGGTTTTTTAAAAATATTTTTGTAGCAAGAAATGGCAGGCAGCTACTTCTGACCTTTGTTGGTGCAGCTGGGCATGCATGCCTCGGTTGCTCAGGGAGACATGCAGCCTGCCCTCTGCCCTGAGACGCTGGCCCGCCACATTCACTGCCATCACCACATGGCCTGCCCGCTGATCTGACCTTCACTGCTGCTGTTGCAAGGGATGAGTGGGGCAGGATTGCATTGGGGCTCCATGTTGTAACGGGCTCCAGGAGGAGGAGGGGACTCTGTCACCTGTATTGTGAAGCCTGCTAAATTTCACTGTGCTGTGCAAGGGCAGGCCACTTTGACCATGAGGTTGCAACAGCAGTGCCAGTGGCAGCAGTGTGGGTCAGGTCAGCAAGGAGGCTATGAAGTGGCAGCAGCGAACACCGCAGGCCAGTGTCTTGGGGTGGAGAGCAGGTCGTGTGTCTCCCTGAGCGACTGAGGCATGCATGTCCAGCTGCACCAACAAAGGCCAGAAGTAGTCACCGTCATTTCCTGCTGCAAAAATCTTTTTTAAAACCTGACTGTTGGTCAGAGAGTCTCAGCAAGAAATGAGGCTCCAGAGATGCTTTTCTCTGCTGCAGTGCTTCCCAGACATGGCTCACAGTTCTGAGCCCGAAGTGGCAGGAGGCGAGGGCTGCCTTGAGTGCAAGTGTACCATGATGAAGACAGAATGCTGTTGCTGCACAAAGGCAAGTACAGGGGCGCTTTGCTTCCACACTAAGGCTCCAGCCATCGCCACCACTGCTTTGACCACCGGTGTCACCCCACCTTACTGCAACAATGCCATTACCTCACTCCGGCTGGCGAGGGCGACGCTACTCCTTGCACCACTCCTTGTACCACCCTCTACGGCAGAGATTTCCAGCCCCACCCAGAGCGAGTCTCCCTCCCCTGCCTTCGCCCTTACCTTCTAAGCCCATGCAAGGAGTGACGGGGAGGGGAGGGGCAACCAGTGGTAGTATCAGCTGGTTTGCTGAACTGTGCAAAACATTAACAACCAGTTTGGCTGAACTGGTGTAAACCGGCTGAAACACACCACTGATCTGAGCCCCCAAGATCTCCTCTGTCTATTCTTTCAGGCCAAACCTCCCATGTTCACAGCCCCTTCCCCCCCAGAAGAAAAGGGAATTATAAGCAGAAAAACCTAAACAATGAACGAAAGCTGCATTTGAGCCCTATATCCTCTGTCCTTTTGCCCCAAGAAACCAAGCAAAATAATCCATTTCCTGACCTACATCCCCAGCACGAGTTTTGGGGTTTTTTTTTGGGGGGGGGGGGGGAATTCCTTCTCTGATTGGGAGCAAATAGAAAAAAGAATGGGTTTGCTGCCATCTAGTGGCTATATTGAAATTTGTAAAGTTATCCTGCAGAAAAAAAGGGGGCTCATCCTAAAAACATTCTTGTCTAAAAGAAAAAAGAGCCAGGAATCTTGCTTATTTCTCACCCAGGGAAAACCATATCCAAGTGGAAGAGTTTACCCAGCCATTCCATACCTGAAGGCTCAATACACTCTCCTTCAGTAGGTATGTCTTTCAAGGAGTGTTTCACTGCCTCTGTAATAACTTCCATTACATGCTGGATCATTTCCTCATTGTTGTATATTATTACTTGGGAGATGACTTTATGTTCGACAATAATACTGCCATTCCTAAGAGAAAAATGAAGGAAAAACAATTCCTCAGTTACTGAACTGCCTTTTTTTCTCCATGAAAGTATGATAAAGACTGTAATAGATCCACCCTTTTCCTCCATCAAATTCAAAATGAACTAGAACTTCTAGTCCTTTCCATATAATCCACACAACTATCTTAAGAAAGGGTTTAGAATAAGAGTTTCAGACTGGCCCAGGCTTTATCTGGAAGCTTCCTGATTGAGTGGGATTTTAACCTCAACTTTAGTCCAAGTCTAATTGCTTTAACTTCATCATTGTTGGTGCTTCTCTTGAAGAGCCATTTCTTCCTCAGATGTTTCCTGAAACACATGGTGACTGAAAGTATACATAAGACATGCAAAATGCCCAATCTTCCAATTCTCTAGCCACTCTTGGTTCCTTCCCTGCTCAGGCTTTGAACTATCCATATTGTTAAAAAAAAGAAATGTGAAGAGAAGTTACTTAACACCAGAGGATCCACAATGGAAGAAAAGTTCTATTCATATTCAACTGAGGCTGGCCTGAATGAATGAGAGAAATTCATTTGATGGCTCATCATCCCAGAGCCTAAATTAGTCTCTTTTTAGATACCAACCTCATTCGTAAGATCTCCACTTCACAGTATCCAGGGACAGCACTATAAACATCTTTCATCTACAAGGTAGAAAAAGTAAACGAAAGCCTTCATAAACAAACAAACCTATGCCAGGAAAGAGACTTTAATTAGAAGCCAGCCTCCTAAAGCATTGAGTGTGTGGTGTGTGCTGTGTCTTGTCTAATTCCCTAGCTGCAGAAAGCTGATAATCCAAGAAGTGAATTTCTGATTGGGAAGAAGACACATTCTTGGTACGAATTAGGAGTGCTGGCCTTGGTTAAAGAAGAGTGTAAGATACAGTACATTGAAATTTTGAAATTGTGACATTGATCAGTTATAGGCTATTTCCTTGATCCAATCTTACCTGCTTTTTAAACTGAGCCTGAATTTCCTGAGAATATTTAGAGCTTAAATCTTCCAGAGATTTCTTGTACTCTCTGTTAGTAACTTTCACCTGAGCTTTGACAGTAATTGTCACAAATACTAAAAGAGAAAGAGATATTCGTATGAACTTCAACAAGTTTCTTCCCTGCAAAGGAATTCTAAACTGTGACAGGCAAGAGGCGAATGTGTTCCCATTCTCCAACACACTTTCAAATACCTAAATCCAAAGATCCTCATCTGGTTTGAAAACTCATTTTTTGTTTATTGATGAAAAAGAAGCAGGTATTTTTATGCAATCTCCAAATCCCATTTCCATGATTCTTCTTTAAAAAAAAAAATCTTTATTTAGCACGGAACAGGAATATCTTCTCAACTATTCATGAGGTCTCTGTAGCCATGTGTGGGGAAAACATTAGCTCCAAATTAATCATTTTAGCTTGGGGCTCTCAAACCACTGTAAACTATCCTTTCCAGACAGGTGGAAGTGGGAATAGAGAGCTATTTCCCTATATGTTCCTGGTTTACATGCACTACACTATAATGGAGCTTCTGTTAAGCCACATTTTCCAAAGTTAGTTCTTCCGTATGCAATCTCTTTATTCTAGTATGGTAATCCAACATATCTGGAAGCAAACAATTTGAGAAAGTTGTCAGGCTGCCATCAGGAAAAAGTAATCACGTTCTCCGATTGTACTTACATTCACTGACTGGAATTACATCCACAAGGAACTCACACTTGGGCCCATAGAATAAATCTTCATTACAAATGCATTTGATTCCATCATAGATTCCACCATTGAGGCATATCTCTAGAACAGAGAAGTCCCCTTATACAGATCTAATTTGAAAGTTACAATGCATCAATTTACATAGAAATACAATTCTTTATCACAGCATGCATGTATTAAAAAAAAAACACTTGGGCCCTTAGAATAAATCATCATTACAGATGCACTTGATCCCATCAAATATTCTGCCACTGTGGCATAACTTTGGAACTGAAAAGTTCTCTTATATGGATTTGGAAATTATAATCTATTCTTATAAAATGGCAATTTTATAAACACTGATAATGACATTGATCATGGAGAGATGTCTCCAGAAGATTTGAGTGGAAGTTTTGCATACCATGCATCCTTCCAGGTTTTAGCCAAAATTTGGCAAAACATGAAAACAATTAATCTGTGAGCATAGAGTAATCCATACAAGCTAAAGACCATGAATGTTCAATGTTCTCATGTTATTCCAAAGTCCTAGCACAAGGCAACCATGTCCCAAAGGAAGTGTGTCCATCCTCCCAATCTCCCAGAACAGAGAGGAGCTTTCTGTGGCCTTTCAGCTACTGCTGAAATATCACTCTCAGCTGCCCCAGCCAGGATCCCCAGTAGTAAGAGGCAAGAGAGCATTCACTATATAGGGGAAGCCACAAATATCATCCCCACAATATGGAGGGAAAATCACCTCATATGACTATACTACAGTCATAGGCACACTTATAAGGCAGCATTTTGCACAGAAATGTGATGAATAGTGGCTAATCCCATTCATACTCAATCTGTCCTAAATTGTACATATTTCTAAAAAACAAAATAGAAGATCCAAGCTATGGTTCCGATAATCTGATCACAGGAACAGAAGAAAAAACTGTCATGAATTTTGAAAAGTTTAAAGTAGGAATGAGACAAGCATATGGATCAAATGAAAACTGATACTCACGGCTTGTGGTAGTTGTGGTATTTTTGCTAATCTTAGGACTGGAAGAAATTCCTGGAATTGGTATGCTGGAGACAGTAAATCTGCTTTTGCAACTAATTGGGGCTAAGGTACCCGTGGACAGTGTGTTTTTAGAGGGATCATTTATGATGGTGTTGCCCTGTGAGGAAGGGCCCTTTGTTCCACTCCAAGAAGTTGTAAAATCTGAGGCTACGGTCCCATCGCTTACCACCATCCTGAGTGTTGTTGTAAACTCCTGTGTTCCTCCAGGGAAAGTTCTTGGGGAAAGGATGTCAACATGAGAAGTTGTGAATGTTGTGCTTGTAGTGCTGTGAGGGATATTGGGGTGTGGGGTGGCTCTGGTATCAGTGGGGTGTGTTGGAGAGGTGCGTATTTCTTCTGAGAGAGCATTTGTTGTTATACTTGTACTTGTACTTTCATGAACAAGGAACTCACAACGGGGCCCGTGGAATAAATCTTCATCACAGATGCATTTGACCCCATCAAATGTTCCACCATTGTAGCATAGCTCTGAAAGAAAGAGACCCCCACATATCAATGTAATTTGGAAATTGTCATTTTTGTTTATGAAATGTCTGTGGCTTCCCATTGTCAAAAGAAATCTGGGCAGTGTATAGTTGTAAAGCACATAAATGTTTTATAACCACCTAAAGATAGTAGACATCACAGAGGAATAGTAAAATCTTAACCCGCATATTCTTAAAAAGAGTCTTCCACATTCCCTAAGCCAGGCCATGAGGGAAGAGCTAAGTTTCCAAGGCTCATTTAAACAATGCCCAGCCATTACCACTAAGACATTTCTCTTTCTTAGGAAAAAAAAAAGCTAAAATAGTTGTTGTGACGAAGTAAGATTCAACTGCCAAGTATTTACAGTAAATAAATATTAATAAACCAGAGGTGGTATTCAGCAGGTTCTGACCAGTTCTGGAGAAATTTTGAGTAGTTCAGAGAATCGGCAAATATCACCTCTAACTGGAGATTTTACAATATCCTTCCCCTGCCACGCCCACCAAGCCACATCCACAGAACTGGTAGTAAAAAAAATTGAATCCCATCACTGTAATAAACAACTAATAAAACAAGTTAGCATTTTTTATCACTAACATCATATTGAACTTTGGTTAAAAATATTTTAAACTTTGGCATAGGTGTTACTTATTTTTACAAAAAAATGTATGATTTATAGATGAACCAATCATATAAACTAAAATGCCTATTCTCATGTTGCAACCTTTAGAATATGAGATTTTCAAACTACTTTTGACAGAGTTTATTGATCTTATAATTATATTGGTAGCTTAGATCAATTACAACTGAAATTTCATATCAATCTCATTGTTCATTTATGTTCATAACCATAAATAAATCCCCCTATTCTCTAGCATGCTTTCTAGCCAGAAACTCTTCTAGTTTTTCTTGTATTTCAAGATATCTTTATGGCTAGGTAGAAAGTTTTGGTTATATTAAGCCATTAATTACTGAATTATCAAGATGTAAAATGCAACTACAGAATATAGCTAAAAGTATTTCTATACCTATAGTCATTCCCTCCACTTTGGAAAATGCACAGAAGAGAATTTGCCTAAGATATTATTCTTGGGAATTACCTCAAACATTTACAGTTGCACCAAAATGAGCGCAAACACTGAGTTATATTTAATTCAACTTTTCTGATTAAGAGACAGGCAGAAGTAATTCTGATTCCTGCATTCTGTTTGAAGAGTTGTTTATATCTGTGGCCCTACTCACCTGCTTCAACACAAGGGATAAGGAAGAAGAAAAAGAGAGCCCCCATCATCATTTTAGATTGTTTCTCAGACGCCTGAATCCAAATCAATGTTACTTAAGTGAGACTCAAGCACACCTGAGGATCTCACTCTGTTTCCTAAGGAAAGAAAGGTAGAACTAAGGACCTTGGACATCTGAAAGACGGAAAAGGAAAGGTAATTAGCCCATACTGAATGTATATGTTTTTTTTCCTTCTATCACAGAGTCTGTGTGTGCAGGAAGGGCAATAAAACCAACGTGAGTCAATGTAACTGATAAATGAGTTCTAGGCTGACTCCTAAAAATATCAGTTGTTTCTTTTCAAATAATCAGATGATAATTCCTTTTGTTCACAAGCCAGTATAACGCAAGAGGAAAACAAGCCTCTTGCCAAACACACATAACACCTTTTATTTCACATCTTTATATATTTCATACCATGATAAACTCATTCTTACAGCAGTACAAATAATATAACTAGCACCAGACAGAGTTAGATTATAGTCTTTGACAGGGTGTTTGTTTGCTATCATCTCATTTCTTCAATCTGGAACATGGAGGTTGGTGCTGTTGACCCCATATGATTCTTGGAAAGTTAACAGCAATGAAAAAGCTACTTAAAAGGCTAGGACGTGGCTTTAATATTATTAGAAAGTTATCTCTTAAACCATCTATTTATCTCTTTATATGGTGATTATTAGTTAGATTTATTTTCCTTGTCCAGTGTTTAAAATGATATATATAGAAACCCTGGTTTTAATTTTTCCACATAACCTCAACCCTGCATGGTAGCCTAGGATAAGAGAATGTTTCTAGCCAGAGGTCATCTAGAGATCTTTCATTAGTTAGGGTGAATTTGACCACACTTTGCAAATCTGGGACTTAGTACACAATGGAGATGAAAGTTCAGTAGCATATGAAGCATATGTTTCAAGCATATCCTCTGGAAAAAGATTCATTCTGGACTACTATGGAAAATTTACATACATTAAATCCAGCCATTTGTGCACAGCCAAATAATTTTGCCAAACCCACTGCCACCCTGTGGTTTCTCCCAAACCTGGAGTCAGTTATGAAATGTAACAAGACATTATATACCCATGAGCTATAGACATGTCCACACAGGGATACAAGAAAGAAAATAGCAACCTGGCTTAAAGCAGATTCTATTTAGTCATCCAATTGTGTAGCTGCCCATTTCACCAGAAGCAATTCTGGGCAGCATATATTATGGACAGGTATTTTATGGCTGGGTAATAGTTTTTCAACATTTTACCTTTTTGACTCCAAAAAACAGATGGCATTGCTTCAAGCAGTAAAAATGGCAGGGACTTCCTTTTCCTGGAGAAAATGTATGTTAGGACTCTTAAAATGTGCAAAAACCCGACAGAAAACCTTTGGTCAGGCACTAGAGGGCACCAAAGCTATTCAGCACTTGTGAGGAAAATGAAGTGGCAGAGGGCCTAAGTAGTTGTCCCTACTGCATTCTTCATGTGGTAAAAAAAATCAAAATATATTTCCCAAAGTTGTTTCTGTTAAGACATCTTGCTTCTGGGAAATTCTTTATTTCTTTTTTTCTTTGCTTGGAAAGTTCCAGACACATACACACTTCCTTTATAAATGTCCGGTTAAGAAAAAGCGTGAGAGAAGGCTTCCTCTCACATTCACATGTACTGTAAATTGCATTTACTACTTTGAAATGCCTCCAATGAAATGGTTTTCTCATAAGAAAAAATTCACAGCACACTGAAGTGACCCTGAGTAACGATAGGGAAAAGAACCTGTGGTCCAGTAAATCATATTGGTTTTATTCACTGAGCTTATTTCAAAGATAGTTTAGCAAGCATGCTGACCTAGTAGGAAGGGATAAGTAATGATAAAGTCACACAAATGGATTTATCTAAAACATTTCAATGTCAGGCTGTGATTTCTTTATTTTGTCTTTGCAGTTGTGGGGCCAGAGGCATATGAGCACTCGTTCTGGTTTTGATCATGGTCCCTCTGGAAATGTTCCCATAACTTTCCTCATTATTGACTGCAAGCAAAAAATAATAATATAGTGATTTGACTGCTTTAAGTAACCAGGTTTTGGGTCGAAGAATACGTTTTTGCAAATGGTTTCCTATTGCACAGTATTGCATAGTTTATTATGATGAATAAAGACATTTTGGTCTGAATTTTCCTTAGTATACTTTATTTTTAATTGCAACACCATTGCAAAGTATACAGAAAGTTAGATTTTAAAGTGCAGCTCAGACTTGTTCATGTATTAGATTGAACATGTAAAATTAGAGGTGTTTACATTGAACTGCCACCTAACAACTTACCCATCCCCTCCCCAGTAAGTATGTCACATGTCCCCTCAATTTCTCTGTTTGTCCATAATAACGGAGAGCCTAATCATTACAATGCAGTTTCCCTCAGCTTCCATGGTGATCTGACAAACCAGAACCTGTAAAAGGGATGGACTCACCCTTCCTATGGAAAACAATAGAAACAATGGAAGTCAGGAAGGAGGGAGCCAGAAGACAGAATCAATGCCTTCTCTCCTTGCTCCCATCAAAATGGCTTAGAAAGAAGGGAAGGAACAGAATATTTATAGTACAAGATTTGAAATAATTCTCCTGCCCTCTTTTATGAATTGTTTATATTTTGAAATGAAAACAATGCAACTAAGTTTGTACTTTAGTTTTTATACATTTTATATTGATTGTTTGGATAAAGTGTTCACCTGTTATGTATCCCTCAATGGTAAGCTTTTCAAAGCTGCTTAGCTGAACTCCAACTGTTTAGTTCAAGTTTTAAACTAATTTTTCTTTAGTTTTTGAGGAAATGTATGCTTCCCATTATACACAGAGGATAAACCATTTGATTAAATCTTTAAACAATACATTCATCCCTTGTTCCATTTAGTTTATTGCAAGTTTATAAGATATTTGTTACTGTAGATGGATATGTCTGAAACAGGGAATTACTAAGGTAATTTACACTGCTTATTAGATTGATTTGACCAGTGCATGGCTTATGTGCAACACATCAGTTTAAAGTAATACTACTGAATCCCCTAAGTTTTTCTCCCACGTAGATACCATACAGTACGGTGCAAAAGTCTTAAGCCATCATTATATTTCTTGTTGTAGCAATGGTATAATGACCATATGTAATTGCGTCTCAATCTTCTTATTTGAATACAACCAGAAAAATGCAAAATATTTAAGTGCACTATTCAAAAAATTAGGAAAAAGCAGAATAAACAGCTTCCATAGGCCAAAGTGACAAATAAGCAACGTGATCTCCCCTTACACTTGAACAACAGTAGGCTCTTGGCTTCTGTAACCCTAAATCTAAGGGAACCCTAGACACTGTCACTGCTAACAGTTGTACGTGTCCTACTGTGTCTAGCTCAAATGACCAAAAGTTCTGTTATAGCAAGTTTTTGCAAGACATGCTTGAGCACTAGATGCAGTACATACACAAGTTGTTTCAGTGTAATTCATTGGAAGCTTGCTTATAAGACCAGCTTTCATTCACATCATTCCAATTAAAATGCCAAAGATCACAGAATGTGACAAACATAAAATCATAGTTTTGCATCAGCAAGGCCACTCTCAAAGGGAAATCAATAAACAAACTGCATATTCAAGCTGTTATAAAGAAATTTGAGGAATCAGGAGAGGTCAAGGACAAAAAAAAGGATTGGAAGGCCAAGGAAACCTTCAAATTCTGATGAGAAGTTTCTCAGAGTTTCTTCTTTTAGAGACCAGAGGAAGTCCCGCTGGATCCCCTGGCTCAGCATCTAGCAGCCTCATTGGATTGTCAAATTGACCTTTCTACAGTCTGACAAAGTTTGATGAGTAATGATCTTTGTGGAAGGGTAGCAGACAAGAAATCACTTTTGCATAAGGGGAACAGGGTAAAAAGAGTAAGATATGCTAATGCTCACAAAGATCAGACTGAGGACTAGTGGAAAAAAGTATTAGGAAGTAATGAATCCAAGTTTGAAATTTGGGGGTCCGTTCATTGACAATATGTGAAAAGAATAGTTGGAGAGGGATGGGTGAATGAGAGAAACATGATGGAAGGTGTGTCCTGGTTTGGGGCTGCATTTCTGCCAGTGGTATTGGTGATAGTCTGAATTGATAAGATTATGAATGCTGAAAGTACAGGCAGATTTTAATTCATCATGCCATTCCTTCTAGAAAGCACCTGATAGGAAATGGATTTATTTTTCAGAATGATAATAATCCCAAGCACAATAGAACATATTTAGTGAGGAAATCAGCTGAAAAAACACTGAACATCATGGATTGGCCATCATAGGGTCCAGACCTGAATGTTCTCGAGGCCTAGACAGAGAAAGAAAGAAAAGACAGCCTAAATCAGAGGTGGTATTCACCAGGGTCTGACCAGTTCTGGAGAATCGGTGGTGGAAATTTTGAGTAGTTTGGAGAACCGGCAAATGCCACCTCTGACTGGAGATTTTACAGTATCCTTCCTCTGCCATGCCCACCAAGCCACACCCCCAGAACTGGTAGTAAAAAAAATTGAATCCCACCACTGGCTTAAATCTAAGGAAGAACCATGGGAGGTGCTGAAAGAAGCCTGGTATAATGTACCAGAAGATTTCCTCAGAAAACTTCAGGACGGTCTCCCCAAAAGAGTTCAGGATGTACTTAGAACCAAGGAAAGTCACACTAAATAAGGACTTTTGCCTGAAGAAGCCATTTTGTTTTGAAAATTGTATTTCTTTGGATTTTATATACATATTTTTTGTATTTCCTGTTTGAATCTTAATACAGAGACTGAAAAATAATTATGGATAGGCATTAAAACTTTGCTCAAACAACAGAGTGGATGGTAACCTATGACTTTTGTGTAGCAATATATGAGTAATTATTAATCAATTAGTCATACATGTTGAGTCCAATATGAAGTAATTTGAATTCCAGATCAAAAGCTGATTGTTCCTGCCTAGTTACTATATTTAGAGTTCAGATATAAGGCAGGGAAATTCTGCAGTTAGGACTTTGGCTAGGAAAAAACCACCTGAGAAGCCTTTGAACCCTAAGATTTA